CACCATAGAGTGGTCCAGACCTGGGTGGGGAAACAGTACTGTCTTCTCTGTCCACTAAGGTAAAGGTAAAGGTACCCCTGCCCGTATGGGCCAGTCGTGACCGACTCTGGGGTTGCGCGCCCATCTTGCTTAAGAGGCTGGGGGCCAGCGCTGTCCAGAGACACTTCCGGGTCACGTGGCCAGCGTGACAAAGCTGCTCTGGCGAGCCAGCACCAGCGCAGCACACGGAAACGGCGTTTACCTTCCCGCTATAAAGCGGTACCTATTTATCTACTTGCACTTAAGAGTGCCTTTGAACTGCTAGGTGTGCAGGAGCTGGGACCGAAAGACGGGAGCACACCCCGCCGCGGGGATTCGAACCGCCGACCATGCGATCGGCAAGTCCTAGGCGCTGAGGTTTTACCCACAGCGCCACCCGCGTCCCTTTCTCTGTCCGCTAGGAGGCTGTAAAAATTATTATGATTGTTGTCATTGTGCATGTAATGGAGTGCCCCAGACCTCAGACTGGGTGGCATGCTAGGGGTTGAGTTGGTTGGAGTGCCCTGGTTCAGTTCTTAAGTTACGGATTTTAAATTTACACTGGGAAAGCTTTTTCAGGCCATTGCCCCCTACCCTCTAAAAAAAGCATTGTTCAAAATAGCAGTTTCCACAACCCACTAAGGAAGATAATAACACAATAAAATTCAAAAGAGTAACAATTAATTGCACATTTATTCAGTATGCAATTAAGACTATTTAGTTAACAAAATTGACAAACTTGATCACTGATTGATTGAGTTTATATACTGCTCTATACCAGGGGGTCTCAGGGCATTTGACAGAGTAAAATCAAGATATAAGACCACAAAATACATAATAAAAATAAAAACAACCCAATAGCCCCCCCCCAAACCACATTTTAAAAGGGGTAGGATGAAAATCGGATCAACCAAAGGCCTGGTTAAAAAGGAACATTTTTGCCTGGCGCCTAAAGGTGTATAATGAAGGCGCCAGGCAAACTTCTCTGGGGAGAGCATTCCACAGACCGGGAGCCACTGCAGAGAAGGCCCCGTTCTTGTGTTGCCACCCTTCAGACCTCTCGAGGAGGCGGCACACGAAGGAGGGCCTCAGAAGATGATCTCAGGGTCCAGGTAGGTTCATATGGAAAGAGGTGGTCCTTGAGGTATCGTGGTCCTAACAGCTATTCAAAGTCGGATAGCCATTTACACCTCCTGTGACCCCCCCCCGCCTCTTCAGTAATCCCAGGGGGCAGTACCACCCAGTTTAGGAACCATTGTTTTAAGATGATTGGCATCCTGAAAATACAGGTGCCATCCAGATTTGCGGGGGAGAGGAAGTGTTGGACTGATGCCAGGCTCAGAAACTCTCTTCCTTCACTCCTGCAGCGGATGTCTCTGGCATTGACTGGATGGTGCGGCACGGGCGCAGCCTGGCGCTTTCCGTGGCTGTCAGCGTGGCCCCCGGCAGAGTGTGCGCCCCCAAATACAGCAACAGCGTCCATGAAATGATCTTTAGCAATACTACTGCGGACCGGGTAAGCGTCTCCTTCCAGCATGGCTGTCGGGTGTTAGGCCTTAAATCCAGGAGGCCCTGATCTGAAAGACAAAACGAGTACCACTTCGAGGTTGTGAGGTCCAGTGGCAAGGAGTTCCAAATGTCACTTTCCTGCTTCTTCTTCTCCAGATTCCAATTGCGATCAGTGGCATCAGAGGGATGGGTTTCCTGATGAAGTACCACATAGAAGCCAGTGGGGGAAATCTGCCCGCCAAACTCTCCAACCTCTTCATTAAGGTGAGCCCCTTTCTGAATGTATGGACTTTGCTGGTAATCAGAGATCTGCTTTCCAGGAACCAGCCAGATGTGGTTTGGATGAGCACAGGACTGTGGTCTGTCCTTTGCTGACTCCTTCCTTGCTGTGTACATAGAGCCTGCATGTAAGCTCTAGAGCAGAGTGGTCCGATGCACGGCCTGAGGGCCACATGTAGCCCTTGACGCCTTTTTCATGGCGGACCGCAGCAAAATTTGACACCCCAGCTTTGGGGAAATGGGGGGGGGGCTCTAGGACCCTGCCAGAGCCTCATGCCTCCTTCCAAAAGCCTGGCACAGTGCTTAATCCAGCTTTGGGAAGGCAGCATTGAGGGTTGAGGGGGGTGTCAAATTTTGACCTCTCTCCCCACCCCAAACCTGGCAGAACAAGGCAGTGTGCAGCCCCCCGTTTCCATGTTGAACTACTCTTGCAGCCCACTTGGTATAAAAAGTTAGATTGTCCTGCCCTAGAGCAAGAGGCTTGAGCGATACCAGCAGGTTCCAGGAACCTTCTTCATTGTGAGATTTAGCGGGGTGATGTATGAGTTTGCTTGGGGCCAGGATGGGGAGTTGGGAGTCCTGGGTGAGAGCCAGGAGGCCAAGAGGTGCCGAGTGTGTCAGAAGAAGGAAATTGTATCAGGATACAATGAAGTCATTTGTATTATCCCCTAGCTATTGCCTAGGAGAGGCCTTCTCAGTGGCTGCACCCAGACTTGGGAACTCCCTTCCACTGGAGGCTAGGCTGGCCCTTTTTTCGTTTTCCTTTTGTGGGCACACAAACACTTTTTTCTTCTGACAGGCCTGTTGCCACCACTGACTGTTTTCTGACGGCGGGTGTCCTGTGACTGTAATGTGTTTTCACTGCTTTTAATTCTGAATTGTAACTTGTAAATATCATCATTCTTTCTAATGACAACCTGTAGTTGTTTGTGTTGAATTGTTTTGTTAGTAAAAATTAGCTTCTTGTTCGGAACTGAAGTTTGTGTGTGTGTTTTCCCTTGCAGTGTCTTCAGAATCCATCCAGCGACATCAAGTTAGTGGCAGAGAAGATGCTCTGGTGGGCCAACAAAAGCCCCCTCCCTCCCTTGGATCCCCAGACCATGAAGCCCATCCTCAAAGCGCTTCTGGACAATACAAAAGACAAGAACACCAGCGTCAGGGCCTACAGCGACCAGGCCATCGTCAACCTCCTGAAGATGCGAGAGGGCGAGGAAGTGCTTCAGGTATTGGCCCATCTTGGAGGAGGAAGTCAGTTTCTCTTCCCCCTCTCCCCTCCCTTCCTCACGCTCTCTACTAATTGGCAGAAGCATCTTCTTCCTAAGTTGTAAAAATCTCCCACTCCCGGTTCTGTGCTGGTGGTAACGCCAGCCAAGCCCTTTGTAGTGTGTGACCTCTGTCCTCTCTGCTCACCCCCTTGATACGGAACTGTGGACCTACATTCCCCCACCTCCAGCTACCCCCTCAGAATGACGCCGCATCGCGGTGTCACGTTGTTTAGGGATGATAATTATTTATAATTTCTATGCTGCCCATCTGACTGGGTTGCCCCAGTCACTCTGGGCAGCTTCCAACAAATTAAACCACTGTAAGACACCAGACGGACGCGGGTGGCGCTGTGGGTAAAAGCCTCAGTGCCTAGGGCTTGCCGATTGCATGGTTGGCGGTTCGAATCCCCGCGGCGGGGTGAGCTCCCGCCGTTCGGTCCTAGCTCCTGCCCACCTAGCAGTTCGAAAGCGCCCCTAAGTGCAAGTAGATAAATAGGTACCGCTTTATAGCAGGAAGGTAAATGGCGTTTCTGTGTGCTGCGCTGGTGCTGGCTCGCCAGAGCAGCTTCGTCACGCTGGCCACGTGACCCGGAAGTGTCTCCGGACAGCGCTGGCCCCCAGCCTCTTAAGTGAGATGGGCGCACAACCCTAGAGTCGGACACGACTGGCCTGTACGGGCAGGGGTACCTTTACCTTTTTACTAAGACACCACACATTAAAAGCGTCCCTACGCAGGGCAGCTTTCAGTTGCCTTCTAAACGTTGTATAGTTATTTACCGTATTTACTCAAATCAAATGCTCACCTTTTTTGGCTAAATTGCGCCACGAAAATTAAGGTGCGCGTTAGATTCGACGGCACATTTATGTTTGTGTATTCAAGCTTCTGAAAATCGAGGGGTGTATTAGATTTGATGGCACATTAGACTCTAGTAAATACGGCCTTTCCTTGACATCTGATGGGAGGGCGTTCCACAGGTCTGGTGCCACTACCAAGAAGGCCCTCTGCCTGGTTCCCTGTAACCTCACTTCTCGCAGTGAGGGAACCACCAAAAGGCCCTCGGAGCTGGACCTCAGTGTCCGGGCTGAACAATGGGGATGGAGATGCTCCTTCAGGTATACAGGGATAGAATGGAAAGTTCTGCTGCTGCCTGTTCAGAAATGTTTGCTGCCTCCCCAGATTCCTAACCGCTGCTTTCGTTTGCCACTTGTAAATTGGACGCAGAACAGGAGGAAGAGGGTTTTCACTTAGCCTTAGCTTTAATAGTGCTGATTGTGGTCCATTTGGGCAAACAGGGCACTGCCCCACCAATCCCCACCTGCCCTTAGCCAGTCCCCCACCCGCCAACCTTCTTCTTACAACCAGTCAGAGGATGGCTGTGCCCATCCATGGCTCTAGCTCCACCTATTGCTGATCTCCTTGCTTTCCCCCTTGCCAATCCCAATGAGCATTAGCTGCCACCATGATGAGCCACAGAAGCAGGCTTCGTGGCCACCTCCCACCTCCCACACCACACACCCTTTCCTCTAATAACAATTATTTCCTGCAGTCTGTCTCCAAGATCCTCGATGCCGCCAGTCTGGAACTGCTGAACGAGAGCTGCCGTCGATCCCTGAAGAAGCTTGCTAGCCAGGCCGACTCCATTGAGCAGATTGACGACACGATCCTGACGTGATTTTCAAGGCGCAGAAGGGAGAGGTGGCCCTCCTTACCCATCACTGCATCAACATTACAGCTCAAAACACCAGTGGAAATGTTTTCATTTTCGAAAATGCTAAATTCTGATGGGCGCTTATGGAAAACAAAGAAAAAAGGGCTTCCGGAGTATTTTAATAAAGAAGTAAACCAGAATAGCCTTAATAAGAGTTCTGATAGGTTAAGTAAATAAATAAATAGAATTTGGCTCCCCCCACTTTAATTTTTTTTTTTTTAAACACAGAATTACATGGTGAAGGAGTCCTATCAATTGTGAACCGGTAATTGGTAGTTGGTCCTGTTGTGAATCTCCCTCCCCACCTTTGTGTTAAAGGAGCAATTCCCACTCTGTGTAAGTGGAATTAAAGAGTTCTGTGGAAGTTGAGCAGTTTGTTTTGATGTACTGCTGATTTGCTGTTGTTGTAGCTCAGGGGGCTGCAAATTCTGTAAATCAAAACTTAATTTAAAGAGCCTCAGAAATTAGAGGGGAAAGGGGGATGAAAATTAGGCTGTTTGGGTGACAGTTTAATAAAAAGCTTTGAAACGAAACTGTGGTGCTAAAGCATTATTTGCAGATGCGCACTTCAGCATGGCACAGATATGGTTTGCTGTAATTCATTAAAAAGAGCTACTTGTGGTTTTCTAGAATCCAGTGATGTGCTTCTAGGATCATAAGGACTTTCACTGGATAGTGAAATCATTTTTAGCAAATGCCTTAGCAAGGTTTTCGTTTTCCTCTCTGTCAGTTGGTGAGATCATGAGCACTGACCTTTGAAATACCACCAGCCCTGCTTAAAAATCACGTGCAAGGTTGTTCGGTAAGATCCTCTCTTGTACAGAAGATGGCAGTAGGAGACAAGGTGTGTTATCTGATGAACGAGTAAATCCCATCTGCAGATACTGGATCCCTAAGTGGAAGCTCAGTATATCATAGAATTGTAGAGTTCAAAGGGACCACGAGGGTCATCTAGTCCAACCCCCTGTAATGCAGGCGTCTTGCCCAATATGGGGCTCAAACACACAACCCTTAGCTTAAGAGTCTAATGCTCTACTAACTGGATGAGAAGCCTACTGCTAAAACAATTTTTTTAATAATTCAAAGCATCCAGAAATAACAAAACATTTGCAAATGCTGGCATTGGTCTGAAGCCTCAGAACTGCCCCTTTCAGCAGAGAGAGCTGATCACCACAAGCAAAGGGATCTGCTCCCTTTCAGCAGAGAGAGCTGATCACCACAAGCAAAGGGATCTGCTCCCTTTCAGCAGAGAGAGCTGATCACCACAAGCAAAGGGATCTGCTCCCTTTCAGCAGAGAGAGCTGATCACCACAAGCAAAGGGATCTGCTCCCTTTCAGCAGAGAGAGCTGATCACCACAAGCAAAGGGATCCGCTCCCTTCACTAAACTGCAGGTTGCCACAGGCACGTAATTCCATGCCTCCTGTCCCAAATTAAATTAAACATCTAAAAGTTAAAATGGCTTTGGCTGTTCAATTCTCTTCCTTGTCATTTTGAGCCTGCAGCTGCAAGCGATGGTGATGCAATTCCAAATGAACCTTTCTGAGAATGAGCAATTCCAGCCTTTGGAGAGGGTTCTAGAGTGTGGCCCTTGGGCCCTAGCCACGCATCATTCCAGGCGTATGAGCAAGAGTACAGTTCTCCAAGTAGACACTCCAGGTGTCGGCTTCATCCAGCTCTTTCTCAGCACGTGTCTGATTTCTTTTTTTTATATAAAAAATGAAGCCTTTGTCCTTAGTCTTTTCGACCCGGCCCTTGCGGGGAGGGGGGCTTTCAGCATATCGGTGGAGCGCTGTGTGCTCGCTTAGGGATTGTCACTCGAGACTGTAACCATTGTTTGTAATCGTCCATGGGCATCTCCACAATATATTCACGCAGGAACTAAGAAAGAGGCGAGAGGGAATGTGTGACAGGTTGTAAAGGAGAAACATACAGGCCACAGAGCAGGAGTGAAAAACCTTTAGCCCAGGAGCCAAATGTGGCTCTCTAGGGTTCTCTATCTGGCCTTAGTAACTAAGCCCTCACCTGTCCTGCTTTGCACCTTCCTTGAGTGCTTCTTGCCTGGCTGGAATTTGCCCTTGAACTCTGATAATACCATTCTGGTTTGTTTTTTTGTCCTGCTGTTTACATGCATGAGGTTGTTGCTATACCTTTGCATGTATACATCTTTTATAAACAAAAATCTCCAGGAAGAGCACAATGGCAAGTGTTACCAGCCTCGGCCACCGTGCTTCACACCGGGCAAAACGGAAGTGTCTGCTTTTTTCAGGGGGGCAACAGGCAAATGCCCATTTCATTTCCTGAAATAATAAGAGTGAGGTCTTGTGCAAAAGTGATGAAGAGGTTTTGCACAAGACCTGGAACTTGCATCCTTTTTAAAAACAGCCCAATTAGGAGCGATTAGGCTCTACAGTAGTTTCCCCACCATCTATTGGGTGGATATCTTATAGGAACGGGTCCTCCTAACCAGGTTACTGGAAGCCAAACGGGCAGCAATTGGTGGAATTGGCACTGGTATTGTTTGAATTGCCGGAAACAAAATGAGTTTGTGGTTGAGGGACAAGTAAGTGGAAGGTGGGTTTGGTAGTGGTACATCATTCCTGCTGCAATGTCACCCTGGTGGGAGATCTGGCTTACGAGCTACAAGGCTGGACTCTGGACTCCAGGGAAGGTGACGGTTCCCTCTGCCTCTGCTGCTATAGCCCTCTAGCTGCACCTCCACTAGTTCAGCAGCAGGGGAGAGTTGTAGCTCAGTGGTAGGGCAACTGCAGAAGATCCCAAGTTCAAATCCTGCTGTCTCCCAAGTAGGGCCCTGCCTGAAACTCTGGAGAGCTGCTGCCAATCAGTGTGGACATTACTGATCTAGATGGGCCCAAGGGTCTGACTTGGTAAGAGGCAGCTACTGCGGTTGTTCCCTGCAGATCCAAATCACACTCATCTAGTCATTTGTTCAGGACTGGTCAGGAAACTCTCCTAGTTGCAGATTTACCTCCCATCAATACCCTGTCAGTCTAAACTAGTAAATCCAGCACAAGGCAAGTTAAATATGCCATTGAGGGAGAATGTAGGGTGTGTGTGCATCATCTTCCCCCAAATTTCCTTTTTCCTTTAAACCTAAAAGCAGATTCAAGAGGCTGTGTGTATAAACAAGAAAAAAACACAAGGACCCTTGGGCTCTTTTCCCACACAAGGTCGTCCCCCTCCTCTCCACCTGCCAAAATTGCTTGTACCCAAGGAGAGGGGTGTGTGAGCAGCTTCTAAAAACAAGCCTGCAGGACCACGGCACTTATGTGAAAGGAACTGTATTGGATATCTTTTGTTGGATGTTCTCTGTTCTCACGCACCCGGAGGCACTCGAGACAAACGGGAAATAGTATTCCTCTGCTGTCCAAGACTCCCCCTGCCCCCTTTTGCCTCGGGTGGTTCTTTAGGAAACTCAGGTGTTCTCCTCTCGAGGTGGTACTGAAGCAGCTCCAAGCCCGCCGCGTCCTCAATTACCTAGGACAGGAGACAGAGCCCAGAGGAAGGGGGGGAGTTGTAGTCCAACAACATCTGGGGACCCAGGGTTGAGAAAGGGGATCTGCTTGGCCACAATGAGCACAGGAAAGATGCTGGACTTGATAGGCCTTTGGGGGTATATTTTTCATCCTGGGAGTTCAATGGTGCACTATGTGAAATTGTCCATGCTAATCTTACCCTAGATCAATTCCACTGTGCGACCCTCCTTGAGCTTCCAGGATTTATATAGAGAGAGGAGAGGAGGAAACGCCTCTCTCTCAGCTCTCTCCTTTGCAAGATGTCAATAATAACCCTGACCGATCTTGCAGAGGCTTTGTACCGATTGCTCCAATAAAACAAACGTGGAGCCCTCTGAGCACGTTTAAAAAGGTAATCTAAATCATTCTGGATAGAAGCAGAGGCCCGCAGAGCACAGCATCCCTCCCAGAAGGCCAAAGATTTCTTACCAGGATCCTTGAGCCTAATGGACTGAATTTGTTTTCTCTCTCTTGTCATGGAGAAGCTCAGGGATGAGCAAATCTGCCTTGGGCTCTCTCGGCCCTTTCAGACAGACTCTCCTTTCGCATCTCTCACCTCCACAGCTGCGCAGATGTCCGGAGAGCAGATTTCCCAGATCCGAAGCTCCCCCAACACTTTCAGGAAGGTAGGCGGCCGGATGCGCAAGTCCGGATTCCTCGCAAACCTCTCCAGTTTCTTTAGGACTTTCTGGGTACGGTGATCTCTCTTGACGTCATCTGGGATCCTGGCCAGCAAAGTGGAGAACCTTGGAACAGATACGAAAACAGGCATTTCAACGCAAGTGTCCTGGACAGCTTGTGGTGAGCTGTTAGGCCAGTGTTTCCCAAACCTGGGTCTGCAGCTGATTTCGGACTATAATTCCCATCATCCCTGACCACTCGGGTTGCTACCTAGGGATGATGGGAGTTGTAATCCAGAAACTGCTGGAGACCCAAGTTTGGAAAACATTGTGTTAGGGTCTTCCAAGATGGCATTTCCTCCACAATGTGATGGAGAGCAACTGTATGTCAAAACAGTTTCTTTCCCACCCACCAAATGCCCATGACAGGTCCGCAAGGTGGTGTCTTAAGGCTGCAAAATCCTAAGATGGGAAATGGCAAAACCTATCCAGCCATATCCACCTGCCTACTGGAAACTGAGATGGTAGGGCCCACTTCCTGGTTTTAAAACACCTTGTCCACCGTTTTTGCATATTTTTATCCCGCTGGAATTTTTTTTTACATGCCTGCTGCTCACTTAGAAGCGACTTCCTGTGACTGCTCAGATTCCTGGACTCCCGGAGGTCACCTGTAAATGCCTCTGTGCTTTCAACTGCCTCCTGACAAGCCAGAAACTTTGGGTTTTGTTTTTTAAATGCAAGTGCCGAGGTTCTTAGGAAGTTGGCTCCTGATGCCAGTACCTTGTTTTGCACTCTCCCGTGGCAAAGCGCTCTGGTTTTAAGCCCCTTTACCCGTTTCCTCACCAGTTCTCGGACTCAGCGTCTTGTTCCGGCTCCGTCCCCACCATCGACTGCCTCATCCGCTCGAGATCTTTTCGGAACTTGGTGATGCGACTCAGGCACAGGTACTTCCTCGTGCTCTTCTCTTCTCGCCTCCTGCCAATTTAGCTCACGTGTTGTTGTTTTTTAAAGTGAACCCTCTGAGCAAGGTGTGATTGCCAGCTCCCACCCAGCTGCAAGTTCAAATCTGCCCTGTTCTGGGGACAGGGCCATAGGGACACAGCACAGGCAGGGCTGAAGCTGGGAGCCGCAGAGTAAAAACGGGAGGGGTTTTTAGCGGGGATGCAGGGGGACAGTTTCCCTAAGTGGTAGCAGTTGCCAGGACATTACCCTGTTTGCCTCTACATAGTGACACTGTTATTTCGGACATTGTGATATATCGGTGCATCATAATGTTTAGGTGGTGATATATCACAATGTCGATAACCAGACAATGCCCAGCCCTAGTTCTGGGCTTGGGCTCATAAACAAGATGGAAGACGAAATATGATTTACCTCTCTAGGATGTCCAGTTGATCGTGCAGCCTGAAAGCAGACTCGTGGGCCACCTCGTGGAAGATATCCTTCATGTTCTGGAAAGTCTGCTCTTTCCTTTTAAGGAAGAGGCTAGAGGCGAGAGAGGCAGAGGGATAAGCCCACAGGCTCCAGATCTCTAGAGAGGTGGAAGAAGGGTAGGCCCAGTTTATCTGCCCAAGCTGGCCAGTTTGGGAAACGGACCTCTCTGGGGCAAACAAAAGGGCTTGGGTTGGAAAACCCTCCCCTTGCCTGAGATTCACAGCAATGGGTATTCAGATGCACACTGCCTGGGACAATGGAACTGGAAGAATATAGTTAGTAGCCACAGATAGCTTGATCCTCCATGAATTGGTCTCATCCTCTCTTGAAACCATTGCCACACCTTGTGGGAGAGCGAGTTCCATACTATATACTCCATGGGAAGAAGCCCATTCTTTTGTCAGCCCTGAAACTCCCACTGTTCAGCTTCACCGGACGGCCTCTGATTCAGCTCCTGGGACAAAAAAGTTCCCTGTCCTATGTTTCTCTCCTATGCTAACTCAGCTGAACAGCCCACTAAACCCCTGCTCTAGAAACAAGTATGTTGAGAGGTCACCTTCATCACCTTACTTTCTGCCACTGAGACTTCCCTGGGTGTGTGCAAACTCCTCCCGTGGGTGATGTCAGAGTTTGTGGGAGGAGCTTCTGCACAGCCAGAATAGAGTCCATCTTATTGACCCTCAGGAAAGAAGCCTACCTCCGCACACCTACCTTTGAGGTTTGTTGAGCTGCTCAGTGGTGTCTTCGTCCGAGTAGGTCGCTGTCACCGTTTTATCTTCTCGGACAGTCACTGTCATCGAACTGCAAGGAACAATGACAGCTAACAATCAAGGGAGAGCAGGTCTGAAATCAGGGGGCTTCTGTGCAGAAAAGGATACAAAAGTTTGCGGACCCAGGATTGTTAGCTTGAGGAATCCAGTCTCGATTACTCAGGCAAAGAATCCCGGAGCGCTTCTCTCATACACGATTGCTCTTGGCACCTGTCTCTTCCAGACATCCAGAGTTAGGACTCTCAAGTACTTGAGGACCCGTGCTGCTGTTTTGCAACGAGTGCAAGTCCAGAGTTCAAATCCTACCAACACTTCAGTTTCAAGAGAACGGCCTGCAAGTTCTGTTATGTACAATGGAACGTCACAGAAAACACGATTTAAGTTGCTCTGAAAGAATATATTGGAGCAGGGGTCTGCAACCTTTAAGACAAAAAGAGCCACTTGGACCCGTTTCCGAAGAAAAAAACAACCTGGGAGCCGCAAAACCGGGAAGGTGACGTAGGGACGGTGCGTGACTAACGCACGCACCGCCCCCATGCGACATCACAGCCAGTACAGCGCCCGCCACAGTGGGGAGTGTCGGGGCGCACAATGCGCCTCCTCCCCTCGCTAGTATCCGCCCCGGAGCCGCGGCAAAGGTGTAAAAGAGCCACATGCGGCTCTGGAGCCATGGGTTGCAGACCCTTGTATTGGAGCATTTCAAGTCTTTTGTCCCAGTACGTGGACAGAAAATAGAGCTAGCTGAAAGGCAGCACATGGAGAGCTAGCTGCACTAAGGCATCCCTAATTAGTATTATTTAGGCCATTATGAGATTGTTCCATAATCCTAGGATGATGCTGAAGGCACCCTGGCCTTCTGAACTTGCCACTACAGTGGTACCTCGGGTTAAGTACTTAATTCGTTCTGGAGGTCCGTACTTAACCTGAAACTGTTCTTAACCTGAAGCACCACTTTAGCTAATGGGGCCTCCCGCTGCTGCTGCGCCGCCGGAGCACGATTTCTGTTCTCATTCTGAAGCAAAGTTCTTAACCTGAAGCACTATTTCTGGGTTAGGGGAGTCTGTAATCTGAAGCGTATGTAACCTGAGGTACCACTGTACACGGCTGCTGCTCCCCCTCCCTACCTCTTTGGCCTCTGCTCCCCTGAGGTCTCCTCTTTCGCGACTCCTGTGCTGGTCTTCTCTTCCTTCGAGGACGAAACTGAGCTGAAAAGCAAGACACTCGGATTTACCAACATTAGAGGAGTGGCAGACAAAGATGGTGGAATGTGTGTTTTACGCAAAATTGCATAAAAAATAATAATCACAGAGTTGGAAGGCACCTCAAGGACCATCTTGTCCAACCCCCCACAATGCAGGAATTCTTTACCCAACATGGGGATTGAACCCACAACCCTGTCTCCTGTGCTCTACCGACTGAGCTATCTCTTGAGATAAATTTGCATTAAAAAATACTGGCGAGTTTTCATATGGACATTTTTTAAACACACACACACACACACACACACAATCTAAAAACATTTCAAAGCAATCACACTGACTCATGGTGTTGCCATTGCACCCATAATATTCACACTAGAGCTCCTTTGAACATAAGATCTCAGCTGCTCATCCTGTTCTTGCAGTGGCCAGGCGGGATGCTCTGTGGCTTCCAGCAACTGCATGAAGAAAAACTGTGTCTGAATTGCAGCAAAACCCACAGAAATAAATGATATGTTCAGCTGCATCGCTGCCATGTGCACCATGCTCCGTTGCATTCTCTTGCAGAGTCCCTACCTTTTGCCCTTCTGCCCAAATGAAAATTCGCTCTCCAGCTCACGTCTCGACAATATGGTGTGCGAGCTGCAAAATAAGGAGCAGAAACTGAGTCTAGCACATGACCAGAATGCAGGGACTGAAGCAAAAATGCAATGAGAAATGCCCCCCCAATCTGGCCTCTCTTTTGAGATACACAGTCATCCGATCCAATTAACAGGTATAATTTTCCGCAGTTGTCCAATCGGGGCTCTCTGGGTAGGGTCTTTGGAGGAAATTGGGGAGATGGGAAAACTCTTAAGCCACACTCACATCATATGTGAAGGACAATGCCACTTTAAACTTTCATGGCTTCCCCCAAAGAATCCTGGGAGCTGCAGTTTGTTATGGGTCACTAGAAGACACCCCGTTGCTGTCCCAGAGCTACAATCCCCAGAGTTCCCTGGGAAGAGGGATCAGCTGTTGAATGACTCCGAGACACGTAGGCCCACGAGGCGGAAGAGAAGTTTGCTAATAACTCTTAGCACCCTTGGCAAAACAAGACTCACAGAATTCTTTGAGGGAAGCCGTGACTGTTTGGATTTGATATCCCGCTTTATCACTACCCAAAGGAGTTTCAAAGCAGCTAACATTCTCCTTTCCCTTCCTCCCCCACAACAAACACTCTGTGAGGTGAGTGGGGCTGAGAGACTTCAGAGAAGTGTGAGTAGCCCAAGGTCATCCAGCAGCTGCATGTGGAGGAGCAGAGACGCGAACCTGGTTCACCAGATTACGAGACTACCGCTCTTAACCACTACACCACACTGGCTCTCAGGGACTGGGCAGAGGAAGAAGAGGAGGAGGAAGAGGAGGAGGAGTTTGGACTTGATACCCCGCCTTTCACTCTCTCTTTATACTGTGACCCCGTCCGCTTCTGCAAAAGGCCCGACGTACCAGCCGTGTGTCAAGTTCCAAAACATATTTTCTTTGCTAAAATTCTTCGCCACGTCTTCGTGTATCATCTGAAGCAGCGTCTGCAGTTCTGAGAAGAGGATGGGGGGGGAGGCAGGTGATATAATAAATAAATTCTGGAGAGGGGTAGCCGTGACAGCCTAGAGGGGAGTCGCTGAGCTCTCCGGGACTCACGGTAGCACATCGGCTCCTCTTCTTCCCTGGTTGTCTTGCTGAAGATGGACTCCATCTCCTCCCCTTCCTTGGCGCTGTCGGAAGGGGGCTGGGCCGCTTCGTCGTAGATGGGCGACAGGGAGCTTGTGCTGGTCAGGGTCGTTTTGCTGTGGGGAGAGGAGATGCTCATGGTGGAAGACCTCTTGGGGATTCTCCTGCCCCGGTACTGTCCTTTCTGGGTGTATTTTCTGCTCTGGAGAAATGCAACAGAAAGCCCTTAAGAGGCGGTGCCTCATCAGGATGGACCTACTGTTTGACAGAGACATACACACACACACACACAATTCCACAAAGTATTAGGAAAACATGGGAAACCGATTTAGGCACCTGGCTTGAGGATGAACAAAGGGGGAGAAAATGTGGTCAGATTTGCCATTTTGGCACGCATTCAAGGAGGTGCTTTGAAGATGCTATTCTGCTGGGACCAGACACTTGTAAAAAATTCCATATGTTATAAAACTCCAACAATACTATGGCGGAGAAGAGGATTGTTGCTTTGCCTGCAGTGGGATTGCCCGATAGGTCAAATTTTTTGGAATGAGGTCTTTTTTGAACAAGACCAAATCCTCTGCTGAGACCTGATTCTAGCACTCTTCTTGACCGGAAGGAGAAATAATCGTGGAATTCAATACAGAGAATTATTGGCTACGTTTCTGGTTGCTGTGTGGATGGAATGCTCTCCCCAGGGAAGTTTGCCTGGCGCCTTCATTAGACACCTTTAGGCGCCAGGCAAAAATGTTCCTCTTTAACTAGGCCTTGGGCTGATTGGCATCCAATGCCCTTTTAAAATGTGTTGGGGAGGAGGGAGGGATTATTATGTTCATCTTGTTTTTATTATGTATTTTGTATTTCCATATTGTGATTTTATGTTGTGAACCGCCCTGAGCCCTGTGGGTATAGATTGGTATACTAATTTAATAAATAACGACAACAACAGCAGCAGCAACAATAATAGCTAGTTGTTGGAAGGGGGGTTCAGAGCCCACCAATGATGGATGGTATAAAAACAAGTATGAGGGGCTGGTGGGGTGGAGGCGCTGAGCCTATGTGTAGTGGCATCCAACACTCACTGCAGAGCCATAAGGCAAGCCTCAGTTATCCCATCTGCAGTATGGAGACAATGACAGCTACCCAGTATAGCACTAAGTAACCACCCCACCAGAAAAAGAATTTACACTCCTCCTCCAACCACACATGCCATGGAAACTGTTCTGAAGAGCTGGCGGAAAACCCCAGAACCCCAGGGAGGGTGTCAGGAATGGTGATTTGTTTTTTTAAGGCTCTAAACAAACACTAAACAACTACAGTCATACCTTGGTTGTTAAACGGAATCTGTTCTGGGAGTCCGTTCAACTTCTGAAAACGTTTGACAACCAAGGCACGGCTTCCGATTGGCTGCAGGAGCTTCCTGCACTCAATCGGAAGCCACGCCAGACATTTGGCATCCAAAGAACGTTCACAAACTGGAACACTCACTTCCGGGTTTGCGGCGTTCAGGAGCCAAAACGTTCGAGTCGCAAGGCGTTCGAGATCCAAGGTACGGCTGTATTTGGAAACTGGCATAAACCGATTTACCTTTGTTTGCAAGAGAAAGTGCTCCCATCGAGCCTTCACCGTCTTTTCTTTCGCGATGACTTTCAAGGAACTTTTTGCACCGCCGTACTGCCTAAGGGGGAAAAATGAAGGGGGCGAGCTTTCAGTGGCTACACCCTGGCTTTTATTCCAAGCCCCTTTTGGCACCGCTGAGACACAACTGACTCTTAGGCCTAGCCACAGATTCTACATCCAGTGGCAGGACCCAGTCATGGAAAGTGCCCAGCTTCTGGCTCTAAACACATGCAGAGTGCTTTTCTTACGGCTAGTGGCCTGTCCTCTCTTGAAAGTATAGAATACGGAATTTACAGCTGTGTAGCCTTCTAAATGGGACACGGATGGCGCTGTGGGTTACACCACAGAGCCTAGGACTTGCCGATCAGAAGGTCGGCGGTTCGAATCCCCGTGACGGGGTGAGCTCCCTGCTCCTGCCAAACTAGCAGTTCGAAAGCATGTCAAAGTGCAAGTAAATAAATAGGTACCGCTCCGGTGGGAAAGGTAAACGGCATTTCCGTGCGCTGCTCTGGTTCGCCAGAAGCAGCTTAGTCATGCTGGCCACATGACCCGGAAGCTGTACGCCGGCTCCCTCAGCCAATAAAGCGAGATGAGCGCCGCAACCCCAGAGTCAGCCACGACTGGACCTAATGGTCAGGGGTCCCTTTACTTTTAGCCTTCTGAATCCTTGGCTAAATTCTTCAACCCAAGCTCATGGGGTGATTTTTTGCATAGTTTACTCACAGCGGTGAAGCCACACTCAACCCCAACCAACAGAGGAGTTGCTCTACTCTATTTTCAGAGCCACCTGCCCATTTCCAAGGTATATCCATTTCCATCACCTGGCCTGAAGGCACCAAGACCCACCTGGGATTCCAGCATGTCATCACAGGTTTCATGCTGCTGTTGGGATCCAGAGTCAAAGCTTCCAAGAGCCAGTTGAGGGCGCACAGCTGCCGGAAGATGGAGTCGCTGTCAAAGAGAAAGAGAGAGAAAGGCAGATGGTGAGTTGATTGGCAGATGGTGGGGCTGATTGGCAGAGGGGGCGGGCTCAGGGGCTGCAGGGCTTGTGAGTTTTGAGAGGGGGAAATGGTCCACAAAGCAGAGAACTATGCAACCGGGCTTTGGGCTTGTGGTCCTCAAAACAGAAGTTTAACTAGATATAACAACAATAATAAATTCCTTAAACCCCACCCAACTGACTGGGTTTCCCCAGCCACTCCAGGCAGCTTCCAACAGAATATGAAAAACCCCACAGCAAAAAACTTTAAAAACTTCCCAAACAGTGCTGCTTTCAGAGGTCTACAGAAAGTTGTACGATTGTTTATCTCTTTGGCATTTTGATGGGTGTTCCACAGGGCAGGCGCCACTACTGATAAGACCCTCTGCCTGGTTCCCTGTAGTTACACTTCCTGCAGTGAGGGAACCGCCAGAAGGTCCTCAGAGATGGATCTCAGTGTCTGGGCTGAATGATGTGGGTGGAGACACTCCTTCAGGTATACTGGGCCATTTAGGGCTCTAAAGGTCAGCACCAACACTTTGAATTGTGCTCGGAAACATACTGAGAGCCAATGTAGGTGTTATATGGTCCTGGCGGCCACTCCCAGTCACCAGTCTAGCTGACACATTCTGGATTAGTTGTAGTTTCAGAGTCACCTTCAAAGGTAGCCCCACATAGAGCGCATTACAGTAGTCTAAGCGAGAGATAACCAGAGCACGCACCATTCTGGCAAGACAGTCTGCAGGCAGGCAGGGTCTCAGCCAGCATACCAGAAGGAGCTGGTAGACAGCTGCCCTGGACATAGAATATATGCTAAACTCTCTTGCAGGTACTGTTCAAAGGAAACAAACTCTCTTCCTTTAACCACCTGCTTAGCACCTTCATGTTCCATACGTGGTTATGATCCCCCTTTCCCCAGGGGAACAAATATAAAGGAGCCCAAGTCCCCTCTGAGCATGTAAAGAGAGCCTTCCCCAGACCAACAGGCAAACTGCAAGTGGTCTCTGAAAAGAAATGGCATCCAGAGAGTCGGAGACTATTCCTGACGTTATTAACGCCTTCGAACGTACAAATGGGCATCGGGATGCTTTTCCGACAGCAGGCCGTTGTAGACGGGGGTGAAAGGTCGGACAATTTTCTTCTTTTTCTTTTTCTCCGTCTCTCTCAGAAAGGGACATTCTGTTAGAAAGAAACTTGGGGGTGGGGGGGGGGAGAGAGAGACAAAGAGACAGAGCTGTCAGAAAACAAAAGCACAATCTGTTCTAGACAGGAACTGCTTATTGATCTGATTTACACCCACTCCTGGCACTCCTCGTCCCTTTCTGAAGAGCACCCTGACCTGCAAAATTAGCACCCCCATAGACATTTACAACTGCGGAGTCCTGTACAAGGAAAATGTCATAATAGCAAAATCACCCTCCTCTTTGGTCTCCTGCATGCTTAACAGCTAAAGATGTTCCTTTAATGCAAGACTGGGGAATCTTCTTTTGAAAAAGGTGATTTATATTGTGAAAAGTGTCTCATGTGCTTCGGGCACAGAGATATTATCATAATTCCTTCTAATACTGATTCAAATTGTGCCATGCAGAGCCTCCACTCGTTCCCCCATACTAATGTCCGGTCTGAGAGCGCCATTGCGTGTATACCCTAAACCCATGTGCGAGAGAGGCGTTCAGGGGCAGAGAACACGCTCTGCTTGCCAAAAGGTTCGATCTCTGGGTAGGGCTGCGAGGAACTCCGGCAGAGCTGCTGCCAGCCCGTGTAGAAAATGCTGAGCTGGGTGAGCCAATGGTCTGATTCGGTATAAGGAAGCCTCCTATGATTGGTCAGGGGTAGAGCATCTGTTTGCAGGCAGAAAGTCTGTGACTCGATCCCTGGAATCTCCAAGTAGGACTGAGCTCCTGGAGAGCAGCTGCCAGACAGTGTAGATGACACTGAACCAAGAATCTCACTTGGTGTAAGGTAAAGGTAAAGGACCCCTGGATGGTTTAGCCCAGTCAAAGGCGACTATGGGGTTGCAGCACTCATCTCACATCAGGCTGAGGGAGCCGGCATTTGTCCACAGATAGCTTTCTGGGTCGTGGCCGGCATGATTAAACCGCTTCTGGCGCAACGGGACACCGTGGCGGAAGCCAGAGCGCACGGAAAGGGCGGAAAGGGCATTTACCTTCCCACCGCAGTGGTACCTATTTATCTACTTGCACTGGTGTGCTTTCGAACTGCTAGGTTGGCAGGAGCTGGGACAGAGCGACAGCAGCTCACCCCGTCATGGGGATTCAAACCACCGACCTTCTGATCGGCAAGCCTAAGAGGCTCAGTGGTTTAGACCACAGAGCTGCGTGTCCCACTTGGTGTATGTAGGGCTGCCATGCATCATGGATCTTAGACCTAAGTCAATTGACAAGCCCTGGTTTTTACTTTTTGAAATATGGCAGCCCTAGGTTACACGGCCGTTTCTCACACTGTCTAAAATGTCTGGAGGGCATCGCATTGGCCAACTCTAAGCTAGTTAACCTTGCAAACAGGTGTGTGTGGATGATCTCCTGAGACGCCGTCAGCTCAGCTCTCAATCGAACCTCAGGAACCCGATGGCGCCACTTAGAGGTCACATTTGGAAAAAGGAAACGGCTGTTAATAGATTAAGAGCCTCAAAGAACACCTACTCAGTCAGTTCTTCATCCCCTGAGTCTTCCTCGGAGGACGAGGATGATGGGTATTTTGGCGGCTGACAGTCAGTCCTCCGCCTTTCCTGCTCCTTCCACTCTTCCAGCCTGGTTGCCTCCTGCCTCTCCAGAGTTTCTCTGCGAAGCATATGGAAGTAGCCCCGCCCGATCTTCACCGAGTTGATCAGATACCTGTTAAAAATGGCGGGAGGTCAAGCACTGAAGAGATGGCAAAGCTACCAATATGCAGATACATTATTCCCCTCCAGCAACCCTCCAGAAGAATTCTCTGTCTCTTTCAATTTCTGCAAAGAGTAAAAGAGCCCATGTTGAAAGAAGTCCAGGACCCAAATGATTATGGGTTGCCTCAGAGGCCTTTCTCTTCCTCATTCCTGTCAGGAGAACTTATTTAATTCAATTTTTTAAAATTTAGATCTTTGTGAACACCATTCGCAACCCCGAAGTGCAGTAGCAGGGCGTTACATCATAATATAAAGAGGGCAAACAAAGAATCAATAATAAGGAAAAGAAACGGTGAAGTGCCAGAATAAAGCAATACATTACGAGCTGCAGTGGTTGGTGAATGTTGAGCATCACAGTCTATCGTAGGGCTGGGTGATACATCAATACATCGTCCAAAAATGGTTTCGATATTGGTTTCATCATTTTTAACCTGGCAGTATATTGCGAATCATGATGTTTGTGTTTGTGTGTGTGTGTGTGTGTGTGTTACGAAAAATCGCCTTGTTGTAAAAACCACGAAGCCAGACAATGCCTCTACATAGCTCCATCCTTATTTCAGACATTGTGATATATTAGTATAGCACAGGCATAGGCAAACTCGCCCTCCAGATGTTTTGGGACTACAACTCCCATCATCCCTAGCTAACAGGACCAGTGGTCAGGGATGATGGGAGTTGTAGTCCAAAACATCTGGAGGGCCGAGTTTGCCTATGCCTGGTATAGCACAACGTTTAGCTGATGATATATCACGATGTTGAAAACCAGATATCGCCCAGCCCTAAATAGTAGGAAATAAGATCCTACTGGATGACTTAAAAGCATTCTGGACCCTCCATCCCCCTGGAGATACACGATTTTTGTGCATTTTCCCCCATGGTAGCCAAAGTCTGTAAGTTATAATACCGCACAGCCAAATGCGGATTTTTTCAAGGTTTCCCATTGCTGGGCTGTTGAAATCCCAGTGGCAGCGAAAATCCAAATCAAGAGCTCTTCGGAGTGACAAGCTGTCTGTCCACATATTGACGAATGACAGTTGTGGGGAAGCCTGAGCAGGTGATTTAATTGTTTTGGATATTTCTTAATATACTCGGGACCGGAATAATGAAACCTGATGGCATTCTCACCAAAGGTGGAAGGAAGTCCCTCAGAGCCCGCAGCAATCCAGCAATCTTGCGTTGATTGCGACGCGATAGAAAACATCTGCACAGGTGCGCAATTGCCATCTGTGCTGCCAACTCCCTCCCATATAACGAAACGGATTTATAGGAATTCGCTAACGGCCGTGATTACCATTCAGATTCCTGTACTAGAACTGATGGACACCCTGTACGCCTAAACACAGAACCTATAAGGAAGGCGAGCTATTGAATTCCCTATTCTAGCCCACGGGTAGGTAAACTAAGGCCTGGGGGCTGGATCTGGCCCAATCACCTTCTAAATCCGGCCCATGGATGGTCCGGGAATCAGTGTGTTTTTACATGAGTAGAATGTGTCCTTTTATTTAAAATGCATCTCTGGGTTATTTGTGGGGCATAGGAATTCATTCATTTTATTTTTTCCAAAATATAGTCCAGCCCCCCACAAGGTCTGAGGAATAGTGGACTGGCCCCCTGCTGAAAAAGTTTGCTGACCCCTGTTCTAGCCCATAATGGAGGAGTCTGAGAAAGGAGGGTTACTCCGAGGAGCACATCATCCTGACCCAAGTGTTGGACTACCTAAAACAGCCTTTGTCAACCTTACATGCCTACAGACATCTGGCAGGCTCCTTCAGTCTGCTCTTTCTGGCGCCTGGCAAGAACATTTTCGCTTAGGCAAAGCCTATGCAGACATATTGAAAGTTGCCATGTGTTTTAATCTGGCCACTGCTGAATTTGATTATTTTTGGTCATTGCTGAATTTGATTATTTTCTGGAGGTTTTTAATGGCTGTGCTTAACTGTTTGTTTTAAGATGATGATTTAATCTTAACTCTTTTTGTAAATTGCTTTGAGGACCATTATTCATCATAGAATCGTAGAGAAAACCATAGAGTTGTACAGCTGAAAACGCTTGCAGCATTAAGATAAATTCAACAGTGTAAATAAGTTTTGATGGATGTAATAGTGGAATACTGAATGGTATCGTTTTTTGTAAAATATGCAGGGATTTATGATATATAAAATGAACCATGGAATAAGAAGGGAAGACACTGATATCTTAAGGATACAAAAATGAGTACTTTAAATTGTAAAACAAAATTATTACACACACACACACACATATATATATATTGGGAAAATGATAGAGTTGGAAGGGACTGCGAGGTTCATCTAGTCCAGGGGTCTGCAACCCACGGCTCCGGAGCCGCATGTGGCTCTTTTACACCTTTGCCGCGGCTCCGGGCGGATACTAGCGAGGGGAGGAGGCGCATTGTGCGCCCCGACACTCCCCACTGTGGCGGGCACTGTACTGGCTGTGACGTCGCATGGGGGCGGTGCGTGCATTAGTGCACACACACACAAAAAGGTAACTTGTTAATTTAACGTTTATTTCTATGAGGAGGAATAATTCTGAGGGGTCAAACAAAGAAATAATAAAAAGTGACAAAAAAGTTATTTTTATAATGACGAGTTTTGCGGCTCCCAGTTGTTTTTTCTTCGGAAACGGGTCCAAGTGGCTCTTTTTGTCTTAAAGGTTGCAGACCCCTGATCTAGTCCAACCCCTGCAGTGCAGATTATTATTATTATTATTATTAATTCCTCATTGCATTTCTGTCCTTTTCTTCAAAGGAGCTTAAGGTGGGAAACACTCTTCTCTCCCTTCCTCATTTAATCCCCACAACATCCCTGTGAGGCAGGTTAGACTGAGAGGCAGTGAATGGCCCAACATCACCCAGGGAAGTTCATGGTCAAGTGGGGATTCTGAACCCTGGTTTCCCAGGTTCTAGTCCAACACTCTAACCACAACACCACACTGGTATATCATCGTCGTCACCACCATAGGATCATAGAATTGTAAGGGACCATGAGGATCATCTAGTCGAACCCACTGCAATACAGGAATCTTTTGCCCAACGTGGGTTTTGAACTCACAACCCTGAGATTTAGAGTCTCATGCTCTACCTACTGAGCTATCCCTTCACCACGATTTATTTATATCCCACCTTTTCTGCAGAACTGGGACTGAAGGCAGCTCACAAAAAAATAAAACAAACACAAAAAGCTAAAAACCTATAAAATATAACAGTTAAAAAGCAATTGAGCTAAGATGACTATGTAACAGTGGCTTCCATCGTAAGATGGATTTGTGCCCCTATAAGGCGGGTGTTCACATATTTGATAAATATATATGTGACATATAAGGGGAGAAGACCTCACCCAGATTCTAGGCAAATAAAGGCTTGTGGTTCAGAGAGAGATGAAGACAGTTGAATTTTGCATTGGCTATGAGACTGCAGTAGAAGATTTCTTTCGTCTCTCTCTCTCTCTCTCTCTCTCCCCCCCCCCCTTTCTATTTTTAAAAGAAGTCTTTTGTTGGATGACAGACGAGACAGACAACGCAAAGCGCTCACTGCCAGCAAAATGGATACATCACGACAAGTTGTTCTGCAGTCCGCGTGCAAAACATATTTCTACCCCGTCCGAATCAGACAAGCCCATCCATCTCCCAAAACATTGCGCGCGTACCTCCTAAAGTAATGGCTGCAACCGGGTTCAGAACACCCTCTTCCTTCCTAGCAATGCATTAAAACTACTCGAAGGCTACTAGACACTTAACAAATGGCGCTTCTGAATCTCAAGGTGATTCTCCGTCTGCCTGTAATGCCCGTGGAATTCCAGACGTATGGGAACCCATGTTGGAATGTATAGATTTTGGCAAATTTCCTTTAAAAAAGCTCAAAAACTTCTTTTTTTCATTTTTTAAAAACTATTTTATTTATGACTTTCAGGTTTATGCATTTCAATAATTTTACTGTCGTTTTAACATTTCAAAACTTGACTTCCTTCCCCCTCTTTCTGCTGTTCCTTAAATTTATTTTTAATATTTTCTGCATATCCAAATTAACTTATTCATCTGCTTTAAATACATACTCTTATGAAACTGCAGGTTATTACAATAATCCTGCCAATGTTCTTATCTGTTTACAGTTTGTAAATATCCAATAAACCATTTCCATGCTTTTATGAAAAGTCTGTTATCTTGCTTTCTTATTTTTCTGGTAAGTTTTGCTATTTCTGCATATTCCATATGTTTTTGTATTCATTCCTGGGACTTCTTCTTCTTTCCATTTTTCGACAAGTAAAATTCTTGCTGCTGTAGTCGCATACATGAATAAGATTCTATACTGTTTCAGTTGTTCTGTTCCTATAACTCCCAAAAAGAAAGCTTCTGGGGTTGTTGTTTTTTACAAATGTTATTTTAAACATCTTTTTGAATTCATTATATATCATTCCCAGTAAACACAAAACTTCTTTTTCAGATTCTGCAAAAGTCCAACAATTATTGTGTCTGGATTTTCACTTTTGGAAATATGGCAACCCAAGAAATGTATGCCTCTGACAGTGGAGGTAGAAACACAGTCATTGTGGCTAGCAGCCAATGAGAGCCCTGCCCTCTCTGAATTTGTCCAATCGCCTTTTAAAGCTACCTAAGTTGGTTGGCTATGCCTCCCTCCTGCGGGAGTGAGTTCCATAGTTCAACTATGCGTTGAATAAAGAAATACTTTCATTTATCTGTCCTGAGTCTCCCAACTGTACAAAAGCTCTCCATTTCACACACCACTTCCAATCTTTTAAGTTTGTTGTTGTTGTTTAGTCGTTTAGTTGTGTCCGACTCTTCGTGACCCCATGGACCAGAGCACGCCAGGCACTCCTGTCTTCCACTGCCTCCCGCAGTTTAGTCAAATTCATGCTGGTAGCTTCGAGAACAATATCCAACCATCTCGTCCTCTGTCGTCCCCTTCTCCTTGTA